GAGGGGGACCCTCGTTGGGGTTTCCCCTCTCCCGCGAGGCTACTCCCTTGCCGGCCCCAGCCCCCCGCGGTTTCCTCTGCTCCTTGGGTGCAGAGTCCGCGGGAGGGACTGGGGTCTCGGGTACTGGTGCCCCTCCCTTTAGTTGAGGGGGGGCTCCTTCTCCTTCCCGGGGGGAGGGGTGGGAGGGGTGTTGGAGGCTTTGCGCCTCCTCCTCATACTCTTTCCCCCCTTGCCCCGCTTTGCCATTTGGCAAGCGGGGCCTCCCAATCTGTGGCCACAGGGCCGCCCGGCGTCGCGACACACCGGGCATGTCGCCGGTGCCCCACACGCCGCGGCCCTGTGGCCGGCCGAACCGCAGTGGTAACATAGACCACTGCGGTCGGCCTTACTTTTGCACAGGGCCCTGACGTGGCCCCACTCCAGGCATTTGAAGCACTGGAGGGGGCGCTTCGTCAGGGCCTCTACTCGGACGGAGGACCACCCGACTTTGAGTCGCCCTCCGCCCGCCACCTTCCGTGCGGCCGAAAGGGGACATTGGATCCATATCGTCCCCATCCGGTCCGCACCCTGCCGTATTGCCCCGGCCCTTATCTCTCCGGGCCCGCAACCCCCGGCGACCGCCACCGCGGAGACCACGTCCTCCGCGGTGACTGAGTCGTCCAGGTCACGGACCCGGATATCGGCCCTCTGCGAGGGACGCGCTATTTGCACGTCCCTGTTGTCGGTGAAGAGGGTCGACATTCTTTTGGCCAGGGCATCCGCCCTAGCCTGTCCCTCGGGACCGGGGATCTCTAGGACCAGTGCGCCTGTGGCTGCCCTTCTGGTCCTGATATCCCCAATCCCCATCTCGCATAAGTCAATCTGGCCCCTCGCCCGCCGCATAACATCGGCGTAGCTGCCCGTGGAGCAGATCACCGTGACGGCGGCGGTGCGAGGAGCCTTAGGGAGAGCGGGTTTCCTCCCGCTTCCCTCATCCCGGGAGTTCTTTTTAAGGCCCCCCTTAGCCGCGGCACCCTTCTGGGGCCCCGGCTTTTGGTGGGCGGATTGGGGGGCATATCTGCCCCCCCTTCACTTTTCTTCACCCTTCTCCCAACCACTCGTGCCCAAGTAGTCCCGGGCCCGGTGGCGGAGGAGGGAGGGTCGGCTCCCCCCATTGGTCGGACATTTACCGTCCGGTTTGGGGGGGGGCCTGGCTCCCCCACAGGAGCAGGCGCACTCGCAGCGGGCGACCCCCCCCCACCCGCTTGGGGTAACGGGTCGCCCGCCCCGCTCCCGCTCTTCTTCTTTCCCCGCTTGTCCTCCCCCGCCGCCCCTGGCCATTTGGCCCCAGCGGGGGTGGAGGTCGCGGAGGACTTGGCTGCAGGGCGAGGGTCGGGGCGCGCTGGGCGGCTCCCCTTTCCTCCCCCTCCTCCTACCTTATTGGTTCCATTATGGGGCCACGCGGGCCTCCCCCGGGCGTAATCCCGGGAATGACGGCGCCCATGGCCTCCATGAGCCGGGGAACTAGGGCCACATTGAGGGCCTCCAGCTCCCCGCCGCTGAATCCCGCGACCGCAGGGGGCGCATCCTCATTCGAGGGGAGGTGCGCCCCCCCCGCAACCTCCTGCGATCGCCCACCAATAGCACGACGGGCTGCGGGGATCGCCTCCACACCCGCCGTGACTACTATCGTGGCCTTCTTTTTCTTCTTTTTCTTCTTTTTTTTCCCTCCCTTTACAGGGAGGGGTTGAGTTTCCCCCTCGATGGGACCGGTACGGGCCCGGAGAGGAGGGGCCCCCCTTTGGGGAAGAGTTCCCTCCCTTATGTCCCTCGCCACCTCCTCCCGACACTGTTTCCCGATTTTCTCTTCGTCGGGAGTCGGGAGGAGTGGCAGGGTGGCCCCGACGCCTCCCCCAGCCATCGATTCCTCCTCACTGGAGGTTGACGGGAGGCGCCGGGTCATCGTCCTCTTCTTCTTTAGCTTAGTGGGCTCAGAGGGGAGCGGGGATTCCTCCCCAGCGTCTTCCGCCCTCTTCCTCTTCCGATCGGCGGACGAGTCACGAGACGTGTGGCCCGTCCGCCGATCCACCTCCGCATTGGATGGCTCCTGGCTATCGATCTCCATCATGGAGCTCACCGTTGGTAAGCCGGAGGGGCCGGATGCTCGGGCCCTCTCCAGCTCACCGTTGAGGCGGCCGACCTCGAGCCGAAGCAGAGCGCCCTCGACTCGTAGGCGCTCCATCTCGGCCGAGGCCGCCTCCTGTTCCTTCCTTGCCGCCTCGCTCTGCTCAGTGCCATCAATAATTTAGGTCCTCTGAGCTAGAGCGAGGCTGCCCCCTCCGTGTGGCCAGTGTGGCCGAGGCGTTCCAAAGGGCCCCCTTATAGGCTCCTTTCAAGTTTATGGATCGCTCCGCGACCTTTTTCACCTCGTCGATGGCCCTTATGGCCATCGACGAGACTTCTGCGGTCTGTTTAGACCGCAGGTCGCGGAGGATCCTCCCCTCCTCCTCTTGCGTTTGGAGGGCCCTTTTCGACTGGGCACGCATGGTCGGGTCTTTGATCCGCTCCATATCAGCATCGCGTCGTGCTCCTTCTTCTCTTGTTTCCTAAATGCAAGAGCGGCCGCCGTGTGGTCCCCTGGAAGGGAACGCGTGGCAGGCCGCCCCCGCCCATCCTTTTTGGCAAATCTCTGATTTTGTGCGGGGGAGACCGACCGCGAGCTAATGTCGCCGTCGCTTCCCCCCGCACCGAGGCTGCCCCCTCCGTCTCTGCGGGAGCGCATCGAGGCCGGCAATGGCCCCGCTTGGCGCCCCGCACTCTCGCTGGGGCGTTACCTCGCCCCAGCCTCACCAAAGAGGCCACTATTGGCCTCTTTCCTCCCGGCCGAGCTGGTGGACGGCTCGGCGTTGAGCGTATTTCGCCCATCAGAGAGGGAGGCATACGCCTCCATCTCCTCCTCCTCTCCTCCTGCGTCAATTTGGTTTTTGTATGTTGTCATCATTTTTAGGTTGCCCACCCCTTTTCACCCGGAGGGTTACAGGGCGGGCCATAATACGTGGAGGAACTAAATACCCCCCAGGCGGAGCCCCACGCCTGGGTTCGGGCTTGATACACCCGGGGTGCGCCAGGTGCCCCGGGGTGGACCGCTCGCGACCGGCTAACCCGCCGGCCACTCATCCCATCGCCGCGGCTCCCAAACTTAGGATTGGGGGGGTTTTTTATAGAGGTCCCCGTCCTCGCGGCCCAGGCGTTTAAGCCAAGGCCCTCGCTCCCACGGAGGTTCGTCATAGACATGACATAACGATCCCCGGGGGTTTACGATATGGACAGGTCCGACAATTGCCGGGCCTGCGCTGTAGGGGTCCTGGCAAATACCACGCAGACCCCTAACTCTCCCCGTGCGCAGCTGCCCGCACGGAGGGGGGCCCTCACGGCCGGTCACGTCGCAATTCGCAACGTGACCAGGAGGAGCCGCAGGGTTGCCGGGGTGCGGCACCTCTCCACAGAAGGTGGGAAGGGCCAAAGACCGGTCCCTGCGACTCCACCTCCCGTCCCGCCGGCCCGGAGAAAGTCTCCGGGTAAATCCGACGGGATGGTCATCCCAGGGTGCGCGACCCCGACCTCGGAATATGTCCGAGCGGCCCGCGCACCCCTCCACCCCCCGCGAACCGTGAGGCGACTCCTCCGGTGTGCAGTCGCGGGTGTGGGTACCTCTCCCCGCTCGAACGCAGGACTACTCCTGCGCTGAGCGGATTGAGGGCAACCCGCTCTCTCGGCAGAGTGCCTTGAGAGTCGGGTTCTTCTCCTTGTCCTCCGGGAGGAGTGCTCTCCCCGTCCCGGAGCGGAGGCCCCCCCAACCCCGTCCCCAAGACTGGTGGTGGAGCAAGCCCCACCTAACGGCCCCAGCCAGCCGGGCGATTGGAATCAGGGCCGCCTACCCCTACCGGCGATTGGGTCCATCGGCCCTGAGGGAGTCGCCGGGCTCCCCTGCAGTGGAGGGATTTACGTCCCTCTCTAGCAACCGCGGGGCTGCAGCCCACCGCGGTCCGGTTTTCTGTAGGGGTTTTCCTTCCCCGTTGCCGCCGTTCGCCAGCGATCCTCAGGTAGGGGCCTCCCTTTCGGCCGAAACCGAAAGGTACTGCCGCCGAGCCTTCACC